CAAGATTTTCCTCGAATATGTCTTCGATAATTTTTTTGTGAAGATCAGATAGAGTGTTTTGTCTGAAAAACGTGACGATATGTTTATGACTTTTGTCTAGGAGTTGGGAATTTGAAAATTGAATTTTGGAATAATCGATCAGGGATGTGGTTTTGTAAAGGCGGGCAAAGATATCAAATTCACTTTCGGAAAATTGGGTAGAAGGTTCTCCTTCTTCGTCACTATGGGTAAGGGCGTTAACAGTTTTGGGTAATTTGATACGTGATAGGGTATCGGCATTTTTATTAGCCTTGCCTGGCTTGTACACTATTTCATAGTCGTACTCCTCTAGCTTGAGGCGCCATCTTGCTAATCTACTTCCGGTGTCTCGGCAAGAGAAAAGCCACGTAAGGGGTCTATGGTCTGTTACGAGTTTAAACTTTCGACCATACAAATAAGGTCTAAAATGTTTTACACTCCAGACAATAGCTAGAAGTTCTCTTTCAATGGTGGAATATCCTCGTTTCTGCTTTACAAAGTGTACGAGATGCATAGGCTATCGGGAGATCTTTACCTATGGGACCTTGGGAAAGAACGCCAGATATCGCAAAAGCGCTTGCGTCTGTTGTAAGCACAAAAGGCTCTTCAAAGTTGGGGTAGATCAGTATAGGAGATGTTGTTAAAGCATTTTTTAAAGTATCAAATGACTTAACACACTCGCTATCAAAGTCAAATACTGCGTCTTTCTGTAATAGTCTGGTAAGGGGTTTCGCAATTTTGGCAAAGTTTGGTATAAAGCGTCGGTAGTAACCTGCAAGACCTAAGAAAGATTTTATTTCTTTAGGATTCTTGGGTTGAGGGAAATTTTTTATGCAATCCACTTTATCTGGATTGGGCTTAACGCCATCAGGGGTTATTACATGACCAAGATAGGCTACTTCCTTTCTGAGGAATTCGCACTTATCAGGCTGGATTTTGAAATTCGACTTCCGAAGACGCGTAAAAATTTCGGTAAGCCTACTGATGTGTTCTTGGATGGAGGGGGAATAGACAATTATGTCATCCATGTATACAAGACATCTTTCGTTTTGTATACCCATCAAGATGTTGTCCATGACACGTTGAAACGTGGCAGGAGCGTTCTTGAGACCAAAAGGCATCCTCAAGAATTGGTAATGTCCGTTTTCAACTGAAAATGCAGTTTTAGGAACATCAACTGGATTTATCTCGATTTGATGAAATCCAGATGCCAAGTCCAGTGTACTAAAGTACTGGCATTTCCCTAATTGATCAAGTAGATCGGAAATGTTTGGCAGGGGATATTTATCATCGATGGTGATTTCGTTAAGCTTACGATAGTCAATCACCATACGCCATTTCTGTTTACCAGAGGCGTCCATTTTCTTTGGTACAACCCACACCGCAGAATTCCATGGCGATGTGCTAGGTTCGATAATACCTTGTTTTAGTAATTTCGAAATTTGATCTTTGACTCTTGCTTGTGACATAAGGGTATCGGTAGGATTTGGTAAAATTGGTTTACTGGTAGTGGTATCAATGGAATGCTTAATTTCGTTTGTAAATGACAAGCTATCACCATCTAAATAGAATATGTCCGAAAAATCTAAGCAAAGATTCGTAATTAAATCTTTTTCCTCTTCGTTGAGATGATCGAGACGTAATTGATCTCTAATAACATCTCTACGGTTATACTGACTTTGATTTTGTAAAGAAGTGTTGAAATTATTGATAGAAGTTTCGTTAAAGGGCTCGAAAGTTAATTGGGGTAAAATTACATTTTTTGGAATGGCATTACAGTTTAATACTGTAGTAAGGAATTCGCCTTTAGAATCAATTTTAACTATGGAACTGGGTAGACGGACTTTTTCTACCTCACATGCCAGAAGAATGGCTTCAGTATTTCTAAGCTCGGATTTGAGCTTGACAACTTGTTCAACTCTGGGAGGAATGGAAATAACATTTTGAACTTGAGAATTTTCTTTAAATTGCGAAGCTTGGGACTTTTCTTTAAATTGAGGAGCTTTGGAATTATTTTCGTCACCTACTTTGAAAAAGAGGGACTGTTTTGAAATTTGTAATCAATTGACGATTTTTCAAATCAATAATACAATCATAATGTTCAAGAAAATCTGACCCAAGAAGGCCATCGAATGAAATATCTAGATCATGGACATAAATTTTGTGATAATCATTGGGAGCAAATGGGACTAAGACTGCTTCGGTAATACTAATTTTTTCGTCAGTAATACCTCGGATAGAGATATTTTCTGTGACACGATTAGTATAATTTTGACAAGTGTTACGTTTGAAAATGGAGCAACCTGCACCACGGTCAATGAGAATTTTGAATTTTCCAGTAGCATCTTTAATGTAATATAAGTTGTCTGGGCTAACTGGGTGAATTGTCGACGGGACTATAAACGGAGGGTTTATATGAACATCTGATCGCATGTGTTGCTGACGCTCGCACACGGTTTCGCGTTCGGGTCCTCGACACTGAGATTCGCTAAGTTCGCCAACAAATGTATCGGCGGTTTGATTATATTCGTAACAATAATCGTTACTGGGTTCTCTAAAATCATCGTATGGGGAAGGTGTGTAGGCGGAGTACTGGGTATCGTCATATTCATTAGCGTAGTCCGTGTTGTATAGGTCTGGTTCACCGTAGTCGGAATAATCGTAAGAATCGGGGGCGACATAATTAATTCGATTGGGAGGATTTTGTCTAAAATTTCTTTGAAAATTAGGGTTTTGGAAATTTGGATTGCTCTGAATTACAGAGGGTCTTGGCGCACTCGCGTTAGGCACATTTGGTCGTATTACAGATGGTCTGGGAGGATATTGATTAGCATTTTGATGGTAGTTAGATGTAGATGGTCTAACTTGCATAGGTTGATTCGGCCTAGGGTAATTTTGAGGTTGGGGCTGGTTAAACTGTCTTGGGGCAAAGCTAGGCTGTTGTCTCCGTTGGCATTCATTTGCCAAGTGACCGGGACGATTACAAAAATTACACATTTTAGGGTTTGGTCTTCGAATAACTGAATTTTGATTCGGGTTTGGGGCTCTGGCGAATTTTTGTCGTTCAAATATGAAAGTTGTAACTCTCGTTTGATATACGAAACTGCGGTCAAGATATCCGTGGGATGTCCTGATCGCACAACAGGTCCTATTTTTGAGTCTAATCCTGTTAATAGACAATTTAATGTCATCGTTTCGATGAGGGAACTTTGAGCAGATTTTTGCTCGCGATTTAGATTTTTTGAATATTCACGGCGGAATGCATTTTGGCTGCATGCGTCTGCAGTCTAGATGCAAAGGTTAGGGGTGATTCGTTGGGGAGTTGGCGCATGTGTTGAAGATCCGCGATTAAAGATGTGAGATCTCTAAGATCTCCAAAGTGCGTTTCTAACAGGGACCGTATGTCCTCCCACGTGGTAGGGTTTCGGCTGTTCACAAGTTCGGCGGCACGTCCGCGAAGTTTGTTTTTATATGTAAAACGACGAGAAGCCGCTGCTCCTCGACGGCCATTTGATATGCCGTTCGGCACGCGTTGATGAGGTCGATAGCAATATCGGGTTTCCATCGTACTCGGGTACAATCGAAAATATTTCAGATAATCTATAAGGTTCAATGTTCGCATGAACGTTATCAGGAATTTCAGCTGGTTGGTAATCATCTGAACCGTTAGTAGACATTTTAAATGGAAAGTTGTTTCAAAAAAGATTCATAATGTCAAGGGAAAATGCAAAAAGATATAAATGTAAAATAGAAAAATACGTAAAAATGGGGAAAAAATACGTGAAAATCGACAATATACAGGGTGACTTCGAAGTTGAGTCATTTATTTTACAGTGAGTAGATCTGATCAAAAGAAATGTTTTTTTTCCTTTACCATTTTCCTGGTAAAATTAAAGTAACAAAGTTATAGCCCTTTGGAAGTTTGAGTACCGCCCTGTCTCAATAACAATATTATGTGGTCGTGTTTTGGCGACAACGGATATAATCCGCCGTATCGGTTCATCGCATCGGAAACAAAAAAGCGAAAAGAATTTGGAACGATGTTTTTACAAGTATCTCATTCATTTGTATACAGTCAGTGTCAGTGAATGTGGTATCTGTTGCGTGGCTGCAAACGAATAAAAAATGGCACAGGTTTATGCGGATCGGTTTCCCAACAGAGTGCAACCAACCCCATCGTGCCTTGTTAATGTAGTACACACGGGCTCGTGAATCAGGTGAGGGGGACCTCACGATCATAATACAGTTCCGCACTGAAATGACTTGTCCGGGAGGATTCTTTATAAAACAAGGTAAAATTTTTTTTTATTTTTTTTTTTTTACACACATATTTTTGGTTTATCTTCCTTCTACAATCATTATCTGAAAATTAATGACTCAACTTCAAAGTCACCCTGTATAGAGTAAATGCGCAAAAATGCAAATAAAAAGTTGTAACAATCACACACACAGAGATAAATCGCAAAAAATAGTTAGATTAAAATCATTTCCATGTCTGTCAGTCAGTATGTCGGCTAATCCTTGGTCCGTCTATAACTTAGGAAGCACACTCGGATTTTGATTAAATTTCCATACAAGGTAACTACTGTGCCAAGAACGAAAAGCTTTATACTTTTGGAAAATCGGTCTGCTCGAATTATTGTGAGGGATAACTGACGATGATACGTGTATCTGAGTATGCAACGCCGTGCTGGGTTTTGCGAGTGCCTCGGCAGGCAGAGTTGTCACGTTGGTGGGCGGTCAGCACTGGCAGTATAGCGGTAGGCTAGATCCCAATGTTGCCAAATCTGGGGGACTATGGGCTAATTGCTGACTGTCTGACTGGCATGATACATTTAATTCCTTTGTTATATACGTTCGTAGCCAACTTTTTCCTAAGAGGGACAAACTTGTGCCGAATATAATCCTTTAGTCAACCTACTCGTCGCCACTTTTTACTCAAGAATAAGGTTCAGTATCTTAACAGAGATTTTAATTTTCAGATAGAGTGAGCCTATGCATTGTGATAACCACAGTAACACTAATCTTGCTGATAGTGATAACAGGAGTGATATGCCGCTTCGTCCTTGACGAACAAGTGTCCAGAATCATACTGATATGCCTAATATGCCTCCTGTGCATCCTAGGTGCTGGAGCCCTGACATTGCTTGAGGTACGTAGAAGAAGGAGCAGACGACAACGCAAGCAGACCTTGAGAGACAGGCGTTACCGGTACTTCCAAGCCACGGCGCCTCCACCTCCATCACAACAGGACACTTCGTGGGAGTACTCGCATAGAACGACCATGCCTGCTTCGTGATGTCATGGAAAGTACGACGTCTCGTTGATTGAGAGAAGTTGTGTGTTTTTTGTCTATAAAATGTGATTTGAATCCACTATATTTAAGCGATCTGATACTCTGGATTCTATATACAGGGTATCTCCCCACCTAAATATGTCTAAAATTGGGCATTCCAAAGAAAAAAGTTTCAAACAAAAACTGTAGGGTTTTGAGGAGGCAAAATGATGGTAACCTTGACAATGACCTTGACCACACCTTTCATATCAAGGTCAAGAAAATATTTCCGAATCAAAACCACCCCTTTATCACATCGGAATTGAAAAGAGTAGGAAATTTCGCGTATTATCTTGGCCTTGACATTCACATTGTCCTTCAAGACCATTTCAAGATCACATCAAGACGTCGAAACGAATTTGTTCTAGCAAGAATGTTCGATAGCATAGTATGACCTTGACCATAACCTTCAAGGTCAAGTTACCATTTCCGAAAGAAACCTCTCATTTTTATATTGGAATTCGAAAGAGCAGGAAACTTTATTTCCGAATTTCAATTCAGATGTGAAAATGTTCACTTGACCTTCGTTTTGTCATCTCAAAAACCTACAAGGTTTGTTTGAAACTTCTTTTTATAGGATGCCTAGCTTTCGAAATATTTAGGCGGAGAGTAAAATAGGGCGATTCAGAAAACTCTAACAATACTTATGAAAATATGCATCACAAATTGACCCATTACTGGAGATACAGTGCATTGAGGATATCAATCCAAAATCATGAAAAATACGTCTCACCAGAACCTAGGTAAAGATATCTACTTAAAATGTTGTACACTTATTATTAACAGCATAAGCCTCAGAAACAAAAATTATTCTGGCTCTAACTACTCAGTGGTTTATAAACTGAGATATTTTGACCTGTACAGAAGGGTCAAATGTAAAGGAAATATGTTTCATTGGTCACTGACTTTTTCAATTATCTATATTGGTTTTTTTTGTCTTTCCATGAGATTGTGATGTTTTTCTTGAGAAATTATTGTCGTTTACTCGAAAAAAAATTGATTCTCCTCGTTTCATTCTCAATGTTAACCCCCTGCTCTGCATCTTTTATTGCTAAGGAAACATTTCCGGATCTATATAGGTATGCATATAAGAGTTTTTTTTTAATTGCATCTATTGTTTGGCCATATTATTATATAACACCATTGTATAAAGTAGTGGACTAAAATATTTAATATAATGTTATTATCAAGTAAAACTCCCATTCGTGATTTTTTAGACGGTAAATTAAAATATTGGTATAAAAATGTTATTCCGTTGTTCGCTATTTATAGTTGGCAAAGGAAGCCATAAGGTTACCATTGAAATCACATTTTATAATTAGTTTTTGAATTATTTTAAAAGTGATCTATTTCTGACCATTGAATTTATTATTATATTATTTATTTGAATAAATGGCCATAATTTGTTTACCCTTTGCATGTTCTAGCTAGAGCGCAATTTCTTTATTCCCCAAAGTCACGTAACTTGTTCCCTACTGATCGCGGGCCGTGGCAAATGCTTGTTCCGGAAGTTGTTGTATTAGGTACACAACTTCTTCCCGTTCAAGTGATTATATACCCATTAAGGAATACCTCAGTACGGATTACCGGGTGGCGTTACAAGTTCACCAACGGGTCAGTGTTAGGTCTATTTAACATCATTAACTCGCAAAAAGAATGTGGTAGACAAATACCAGTCGACCAAGGCGGTACCACCCGCTAGCTTTTTCCAGGGTGTCTTATGAATGCCCACATGCTTCCACACCTAAAAGCTACGGAATCGGTTATCTTCTCCAACAAAGAAATTAATGTTGATGGATCCCTCGAGTTCTAAGAATTCCGGACGTAAATTCAATCCATTATGGGAATGTCGCTGTCAAGATCGACTTCCTGACCATCAATCACCCCGCTTCTCCACCTGTTAGTTTGGTCGAACGGTTGGTTCAATAAATCGTGCAACACTGCTTGTCAGCAGAAGATCCAGGCACACAGAACCTTCTTACAAAACCCCACTGTGGAGAACAGACAAGCCGACGTCGAGTCCAGAAACAAATATAACTAAGCGGTTCGTAATGCCAAAGATCAGCACGATATAAAAGTTAGGCACAGGATAATGTCGCAGCGCAATGGCAGTCGGTCTTTCTAGACGCTGGACAAGCAGATTGAAAGGAACTTCCACCTACTTATGTGTCAGGACGGAACGATTGAAATCGACTCAAAGGCTAAGGCGGAAGTACTTGCCAAGATCTTTGCTGCCAACTCCACCGTGGACGTCCCCCCAACGCCCGAGTGCCGTCGATTCAGAGGGTTCCCTACACTATGCGGGAAGTAACATTCAGGCATAAGACCGTGTAAGACGGATGCTTTTGTCGCTTCTCATCAACAAAGCTTCTGATCACGACTTGATTCCTGCCATTGTACTGAAGAGGTGGGCAGCTTGCTCCAGTTCATTCGCGTGTCTTCCAGATATCTTACGAATCCGGCACCTTCCCAGAAAACTGGAAATTTGTTCATGTCCAACCCATCCCCAAAAAGGGATCTAAGACCGACCCTTACAACTACTGGCCTTTAGCTCTGCTTTCTTATAAGTAAGGTTATGTAGAGGTGCATGAATCGCGAGCTTCTGGACTACCTCGAATGCCACAGCTTGATTAGTGACATGCAATATGGTTTCCGGCACCAGTGATCCACAAAGGGACCTCTAGCTTACGTCACGCAATTGTGACTTATCCAGTCTTATGGTGAGGCTCATGTCATTATTTTTGATATCACGAAAGCGTTCGATCAGCTGTGGCACGGTACCCTCTTATGCAAACTTCCATCCTAGGCTTTTGACGGGTTCTCGTCTTCATCCCACAACGTCAACGCGGGTATTCCCCAGGGTTTGGTCTTGGCCCCGACACTGTTCTTCTTACATATCAACGACCTTTCCTGTACGATCAATCGAATCCTCAGCTTGCTGATGACAGCACTCTACACATAGAAATTCAGAGTGACAAGCCGATCTTTGCCGCTGAGCTAGAAAAAAGAAGACTAGCGACGACTTCCTCTCTGACAGGAGACCTCATCCGGTTTCGATAGAGTTCTGCCAAAGACCGTTCATTTCGGGTGGTCGGAGTCCAGATCATGGAGGACTCGATCTGGCACGAACACATCTCGTCAATACCAACAGCTGCTGAGAAGCTAGGGTATTTGTTTAGAGCTAAGAAGTACTTTTCTCCTCATGACCTCCTCACTCTATACAAGACCCAGATAAGACCTAGCCTCAAATTTTGGTCACATGTTTGGGGTGCTGCCGCCCCGACTACATTATATATACTCGATGCTGTCCATAGGAGGGCTGTCCGACTGATTGATGACTCTTCTCGAACAGACAATCTCGGGACCCTTTCATACTGGCAGGCGTAAGCGACCTAGCTCTCTTCTGCCAGACAGACCGGCCTCCCATCCTAACCGTATCGGGCGGGCAGAACTAACCGATACGACCGCTCCATTGTACCTAGGGTGTCAATATTGTGGAACAATCTATGAGACGACGTTTTTCCAGTTATATCAACCTTACATTTAACAAAGTTTCTTGGGATCCTCGTGGCATTTAAGCTTCTGCGCGGATGCTTCGATGTAAAAACTTGAACAGTGACATTGTCGGTTTTTTGAAATTATGTAGGTTTTCTTAAAAGACTCTATGACAAGACTTCAAATTGGAACTAGCTATCGATCGTTTCATGCTCACCTGTAGCAAGCGCGGAATGAATTATTTGCACACTAGCCTACTTACTCAGCAAGTTTACATTTAATCGGCTTTTTGACATTATATATAGATAATAACCCTGATGCAGGGTAAAATAACCTCAAAAAAGTCAACAAAAAAACAAAGGCCATCTTGCAGACTAGATAGTTTTTAGTGTGAAAATAGTTCATTCCACGTTTACTCTCTATACTTGCTGTTCGCTCACGTTTAGATTTAGTTCAGATGACTCGCGTACGGCATGAGAAATCATACCCCCGTACGACGCCACTTGACGCGGAGAATCTCAATCAGATCTCAATACGCGCGTCGGTCAGCGTATTGAAATACTAGACGTTCCCATTGCCTGTTCAGGCGACATACCAGTTGTGTCTTTTAAAAACATAATTTCTTACGTATGGTAGTTAGTGAAATGGAAGTAGAATAATTTATCACCGAACTTTTCATTGATGAAATTGAAAAGAGGCCAACATTTGAGACATGCATTCCACGTTATACTCAAATAAGACCGCAAAAAGGAGCGCCTGGGAGGAAATGGTCCTAATTTTTCGCCAATTTGGTAACACTGAAGAAAAAAGAAAATATTAGGTACAGTTGTTCGTAATGCTTTATTTAAAATTAATGTTTACAATGAAGACAACAATTTAGATCATTCTATCCTGCCATTCAAGTTTCCCTTCATTCACAAAGTACTTTGTCAATTTTACTGAACCCTATCTGCATCCTTTAATTACGACCAGTATGGAACCGATTTAATGTCGTCAGTGGCGCTGTGATTTTTGAAGATACGTAATACTGCAATGGTAAGGTGAAGCATCAAGTTTTTCACATAAATATCGGAAAAAATTCAAAATGGATGTTTGGGAACAAATAAATTGATGAACCAACATATTTGCAGAGTCACACGAACAAAAATAACCAGTATACAGATTAACTTATGACGAGATCTTTCTGTTCACATCCAATCAACCAAATTTAAAAGTGAATTAGAGGTTTTTCTTTATCGTC